ATAATGAGAACACCACGAGTATTGATTTTGAGATTACAGATAAATTTCAGTGATGGGTGAATTCACAAATAGGGACTCCACAAATAATGGGGAACTATTATCTATGGCCAGTACCTAGGTGGCACAAACCATTAAGAGCTTGGCTACTAACCCATAGGTTGGTGGTTTGAATCCACCAAAAGTACCTCAGAAGAAAGTACTAGAGTTCTACTTCTGAAAGATCATAGCCATGGAGCATAGTTCTACTCAGAAACACACAAGGCTGCCATGAATCATAACTGACTTGATGGCAATTGGTTTGGTTTTTAGTTTATTATCGATGGCCACCATCCATTTGTCAGTTGGTCGTGCTATAGCGGCTTGTATGTTGCTATGATGCTGGAAGCTCTACTACTGGTATTTCATATACTAGCAGGGTAACCCATGGTGGATAGGTTTCAGCAAAGCTTCCAGACTAAGACAGACTAGGAAGAAAGGCCTGGTACTCTACTTCCAAAAATTAACAAATGTAAACCTTATGGATCACAACAGAATATTGTCCAATATAGTGCTGGAACATGGACCCTGTAAGTTGGAAGGCACGACACAATACCCACAACAATGGACTCAAACATACCAACAATCACAAAGATGACACAGGATGGGGTAACATTTTGTTCTGTTATATATGAAATCCTCATGAGTTGGAGCTGACCTGATGATAACTAACAAAAAACATTATCTATGGACGTAAAAACTAATGACTAACATGCTCTAACCTTATTGATGTAAAATCAAATTTTCCTGGATTATTTTTCATTAAATAATATATATCAAACTGAATAGCCTCTCAAGGAGCAAAAAGGTGTTATAGATATAAGCTCTGTGAGAGAAAGCCTTAGAAAGCATGTTATGACTTCGTAGACCCTCAAAGTTCTTAATTCTTTTAAAATAATCAAACAATTGGTTTATGGAAAAGTTACAGAAAATTAAATTTTTTCCTTCAAAATGTTATGACTTAAAGTTGTGTTCTTAAATTTTGAAAATGATTCCGAATAATAGTCTATCACCTGTTTGACAAAGGCACCAGTATTGTGGTTGTGAGGAGAGTAAGGGTTAGGTGCTGGGAGCAATAGGAGGTCCATTCGACAGGTGCAAAGGGTGTGTGTCCTTTTTGACCATTTTTGGAAAGAGCCACAAATTTTACACTATGACCCTGCAACCTTTTCTTTCTCTCATTTTCCCTTTCCTCCTTTCATCTCACAGGCCTACGCTTTCTATCACTCCTGGTTCTAGGTACAGAGGGAGCCCTAAAAACAAAGCCAAATAAAAACAGAAAGAAACAAAATTAAAAAAAAAAAAAAAAGATTATTTGAGTGCTTATTCTATGAGGCATTATGCTAAGAGCACCAAACATATTAACTCATTTAATCGAGCAAAAATTGTGTGAAGTATTAACACCATTTTATAGGAGGGGAAACTAAGCAGAACAAGGGTTCATAACTGCCCAAGACCACACCGCTCTCAAATGATAGAGCATGATCTGAACTCAGGCAATCTGGACAGGCAGAGCAACCCCACTGCCCAATTCCAGGTGTACCACGTTCATGACATTTCATGGAGTTACCCTCCAGGGGCGCCCTGGAGCTAGGCATCACAAAGGCCTTGTGGACCAGAGGCATGATGTTAACCATCACATTGCACTGTTCCTTTAAATTTTAAACAAGATTTCTAAGACGGCCAGGTTCATCTTAAAGGACATCCCATCTACTCTCTTTAACACGCTTCTTCCTATTTACCAGGACTACTCCAGAGATACAGCCAGGTTGTAACAACAGGGTGATGCCACAATTAATCACAGGGCTGCTAACCAAAAGGTTGGCGGTTCAAACCCACCCAGTGGATCCAGGGGTAAAAGACCTGGCAATCTGCTCCTGGAAAGATTGCAGCCTAGAAAACCTTATGGAGCAGTTCTACTCTGTCACACAGGGCTGCTATGAGTCGAAAACTGACTCACTGGCAACTAACAAAAACAACAAACAGGGGAATGAGCTTAGAGGAAGAAACTGAGCGGTTGCCTGCTGAGGAAGAGAGCACACAAACACCACCTTTTCAGTATGTATAAAGTCTTACTTTCAAAGTCTCAATCTCCGTTACTGTTATTTATTATTATTATGTTTTATGGGACCACTTTTCCAGAATGGGCTCAGGGAGAGGAACCGTCCCTGCTATTGCCCTCATCGCACCCACCCCCAAAACTGACTTTCCGTCCTTGGTTTGCTATGCTTGGGCAAGGAGAGAGACTTCCAATCTCTAGCCATTTAATTTCCTGTTGTGTTTTGTGATGAACACAGCTGCACTAAGCAGTTAATGACAGTTAATTAGTTTCCCTTCCTAGATATTTATGTAGCCCACTGTCCCTAGGCCTTCAATCAGGAGCTTGTGGGTATGAATGAGGCCACATTAATCTTAATTCCTAGATTACTCCAGGCCTCAGTCATATGTAAAACTTTCTGGCTGCTTCCACATCTCACATGTGTTCAAGACCAAGTCTGTGCCCTCTGAGAGCAGCTATACCCTCCTGTTAATCTGTGGTGGGCATCTGCCAGGGTGGCTGGGCAGCTGCCCTGAGCACTGAACATCCAACATCTCTTGTTGTGTGCAACAATCTCCACTGGTGCCTGCAGCTGCTCTTCTGGGAGGGTGCCCCTCACCCATGGCTAGCTCATGTGTGACTTCAAGCTACAAGAGCTTTCAGGGACCAAAATAGTACTGCATTCTGCTCGGACCACAGCTCACTGTGTTTTTTATTATTGCAAAAATGAGAGGGGGGTAGTCCTCTCTTCACAGGGGTCAGAACTAGTGCACAGGGCAGGGTGGGGGTCAGGTGCCAAGTGGTCTCTCTAAATAGAGGCCCCAGACATGTGCTAACAAAAGTAGGCTTCTTTGTCCCGAAATATATTCAGGCAAGTGGGCAGAAACAGAGGGGTCTAATTCCACACCCCCATCTCAATTTAGGCTTATTTACATTTAATTTGGGTTTTCAAAGAAGAAATCTGTTATTCAAAGGTCTTATTTTAATATACAGGGATTTCAGTTACTGTTGCTCTCATGATCGATGCCAGTAGCAAAACCGTTGAACCATATAAAACCAAAACCAAACCCATTGCCATCAAATCGATTCCAACTCATAGGAACCCTATAGGACAGAGTAGAACTACCTCACTGAGTTTCCAAGGAGAGGCTGGTGGATTTGAACTGCAGACCTTTTGGTTAGCAACCATAGCCTTTAACCACTGTGCCACCAAGGCTCCAATACATATACTGTGAAATGACAACCAAAAATCATCCTCAGTAAGATCTTAAAAATTAAACATGAAAAGAGAATCAATAATTTAATAGGCATTGAAATATAAGTACTTTTCAATAGACGTTCAGAAAGAAGACAACATTACCAACTATTCCATAATCAACTCTGATGTGACCACAAACAAGACCTATTGAAAAATGCAGACTGGACATGATGAACTAATGTTTCAAGCTAAGAGTAATCACTAATAACTGAATAAGGAGCTCCTCAGCGTATTACATATTGGATTCCACAGAAGACAGTTGACCCAAATGAACTACTGGTCTATGTCGTGGATTGAATTGTATGTCCGCCAAATATCTGTCATCTTGGCTAGGTCATGATTCCCAGTATTGTATGATTGTCTATCATTCTGTAATCTGAGGTGATTTCCCTATGTGTTGTAAATCCTATCACTATGTGTAATAAAATGGATTAGCGGCAGTTATACTGACGAAATCTATAAAATTAGATAGTGTCTTAAGCCAATCTCTTTTGAGACATAAAAGAGAGAAGCAAGCAGAGAGACATGGGGACCTCATACCACGAAGAAAGCAGTGCCAGGAGCGCATCCTTTGGACCTGAGATTCCTGTGCTGAGATGTTCCCAGACCAAGGGAAGACTGATGACAAGGACCTTCCTCCAGAGCTGACAGAGAGAGAGAGCATTCCTCTGGAGCCGGCGCCCTGAATTTGGACTTCTAGCCTACTGGACTGTGAGAGAATAAACTTCTCTTTGTTAAAGCCATCCACTTGTGGTATTTCTGTTATAATAGCACTAGATAACTAAGACAGTCTAGTTTGGAGAATATGTTAATTTTCTTCTGCTAATAATTTCAGAAAACATAGGTTTTTCTTTTCCAGGCAATTATTTTAATGGTTCAATTGGGGTTTTAAGAAACGACTAAGTACATTCTATTTGGTTTCAGGTTCAGCAAAATGAGATCCTTCATTCTGGTGTTGGTTCAGTTGAGGTCAAGTCTCATGTTTAAAGTAGACAAATAGGAACTTGGGTAATTTTATTTTTCTGTCCTTTATTGCCCTTATCCTTCCTTCCATTCCTCTATTGCGAACATCTGTGGGACCTTTTGTTTTGCCCCCATCGAATTTTTCTGCATTATATAATTTTTTCTTCTCTACTTTCCCAAATAAATTTATTCTCAGCTCTCTGAGTCCAAGTCAGGACTACTGGAATGGTGTTCTTTCCTACCCATAACTGGTATATTGATTAACCAATAATAATAAAACCTTTTATAATACAGGATTTTTTAAAATAAAAGGTGTATTTTTATCTATGCTTTTTACTTTCATTATACCAAGCTAACATCCACTGACATAGTGCTCATAACATTAGCTTCGAACCAACATGGCAAACATTTTGAAGGTAACAATATCTTTCAAAATACAAATGCTCAGAGCAAAGCCAAATACAAGCAAAAAGACCAGTGGTTAAAAAAAAAAAAGGAACATTAGTACAGATATCCCAAGTAACAGCTTAAATGGACAACCTATGAGATCAACGAAAGAAATGACAGTTCACAGAAGAAAGAATTCATTTTTTTTTAAATTTAGAATTGCAGTATACATTTGGTGTCAGAATTACATTGAATTTTAGAAGATATGCTTTTTTTTTCCCTTAGATATGAGAAGAATAACTTCCCAGATGTTCTTACCTGTTATGGTGGCTTTGTTGATGGATGGTTGGTTGCACATGGGTGATCTTCTGACAAAGAGAGAAAAATAGAAAGCAGTAAATATGTGGTGCTTGTTGATCTGAGTACTCTGAGTCATTTCACATAGGCTATTTTAATTTAAAGGATTATTTTTAAGTTAGAAGATGCAAACGAAGACTTCTTTCAGGGTAGTAGGTCAAGTTCCTAGGGGCCCTCTGTACTATGGCTCAGATCACATATGTCAATGAAGAAGATTGTTAAACCTCAAGGTGATAGGCTTCGGGGTAAATAAAGCTGAAGTAAATGTCACAGGGAAATGATAGAAGAGGAAGTTCTTATTGACTGACAGTTGCTATCGAGTCGATTCTGACGCATGGAGACCCCATGTGTCCAGAGTAAAATTGCTCCATAGGATTTTTCAAGGCTGTGACCTTCCAGAAACAGATCACCAGGCGTGTATTTCGAGGAGCCTCTAGGTGGGTTCGAACCACTAACCTTTTATCTAGTAGTTGAGCACTTAACTGTTTGTGCCACTCAGGAGCTTCTCTAGCTACTCTTTTCCATTTTAATCTGCTCTGTCCCTGTCAATTAGATGAAAGCTTCAGTCTTGCACAGAAGGGGCCTCAGATCATCTTTTTGAGACAGAAGGACCAGTCTGTTTGATCAACTGTTTACCTACCATAGCTTTAGATGCTGGCACCCAAGTGACAATGCCTGAAGGAGGCATAAAGTGAATTGCAAAGTATCATGTGTGCCTTTTAAAGATAAAACCCCAATTTCCTGGCTAAAATTTGAGATTAAAAAATTTGGAAGTAACAATCAGTAATTTCATTTCTCCTGCAGGTCTCAGACTTTCCAAAGGGGAGGTGATCGTATTATCTATGTGCTATCAAGTGCCAAAAACCCCAAGTGGCCATTGATGTCAGCACAGCATGCTGCATAGAAAACATGTGGTACTTAATGAAAACTTCAAAAAGCATACCCCAGGTTTCAAATCCTGCATCACCACCTCACTTTTTCAGCCAATAAGCATTTACAGAGTGATTACTCTGTGCTAGATATTATGTTGGCACCAGGAATACAAACGTGAATGAGATATAATCCCTACTCACTATGAAGTGACTTTTATGTATAATATATAAATATATGTACATATATTATTATAAATATGTATATAAATTATTATAAATATATAGCTAATAAAACATTTGCCATTTCTTCACATGTACCGTTCAGTGACATTAATTACATTTATCATGGTGTTCAACCATAATCATTAACCATTTTTTAAATTTTTTCATCATTCTTAATGGAAGCTCAGTGTCCCCTACAAACTGACTTTCTTAAGGAGCATCCAGACAACCAAATAGGAAACTGAAGCACAGAGATAGGTGCTGTAACAGGGGCTGAGTACAGCATATGGTCAGACAGAGAAGGAAGACCAGATCACCCAGTTTGGGCCTTGTGGGAATATGCATGTTGGGGGTTAGTTAGGAATGATGCTCTAGAAAAAAATATATTTAAGCTGAGATTTAGAGGACAAATTAAAGTGTATGTGGAAGGGGAAAAGATTAAGGCAAGTGTTTAGGCTAAGGGAGCAGGACTGTAAAAATTAATTACCTGGCAAACATGGCAATCAACTGATGCTTCAGCTCCACCCCAATTATTTACATTGTGGCATGGGTATTGATTTTTAAAAACTTATTCTATCACAGGAAGTACTTGCACAATGGCTAGAGTGTTTTGTAATCATGAAAAATGTAAAACTGGGAGGTCAATTACATTATTATGAAATACAGATTTTTTGTTTTGTAAGAAGTAGTAACTATTACCAAATTTTATATGCTTAGTAAGTTATAATTCCAAATAAATTTCCATCACTGTTCTCTTGTATTGATTTAAAGAAACATTTTTTTTTTTCTTCTGGAAGATTCTTTGGGGTTTATATTTTAATGATACTATTTTATTGTTAGCAATAAATTTTTGAAATAATGGCATTTAAATAATAAGTGATCAACTTTCCATTTAATCTTAGAAAATTAATTCTCCCTTTTAAGGTTTTTCACCTTTATCGGAACCCCCAAATTGTAATCATTTCCCATCTCACTTTTCCCGTATCTTTCAAATTCTTCTGTTATCACAGATATCACAATTTTATAAAGTGCTCCCTGAAGGCCACTGATCTGAGAATCAGCGACAGTAGAAGAATCAAAGATCTTTGCTATGAAATGGTACTTCACTAAGCAATTGTTGTCTCAGAATTAAGAGAATGACTTTGAATTGACCTTAAGGCTTGATGAGATGATATACACATGGTTAATTTATGAAGTGAGTCAAAACTATAAAGTTACCCTGAGTGTAAATAATTGCGCAGAGGACTGATGGTGCCAGGTGATTTCTGACAGATGGAATCACTGTATTTATTTGTCATATTGCTTCATTTCTGATATTAAAACCATCACTCCCAAGTATTTATAGAAAATTAACAGGACATCAGATGACTTAGTGTGAACAGATAAGATGGCAACCACTCAGAGAAATCTAATATATTACCTTAAGTTTCATCTAATTGAGAAAACACCATCTAAAAGTGGAGTAAGAAGGAGGGGGAGAAAAGAGCATAACTTACTTGCTAGGTGCTCGATCTTGCAAATTAGTTAATGCAGCAAAGTTGTTTCGTACAGTTCGCAGGCTGGCCAAGACCTGCAACAAAATAGGATCGTTTAAACTTTTTAAACTAGGCCCATCTTTAAGACAATTTAAAATAGTTTGGTGATTTAAAGAAAAATGAGTAAAAACTTGATAGCTTTTCATTTAGTTTCATATACTACTAAACAAGCTTCCAGCACTTCGTGAAGCTTGTACTTACCCACTTGAAATCCAGAGAGGCCAGACTGCAAGAATTTTCCATACATGTCTTATCTTTGTCTATGAAAATGTTTACAATAATAGTTGCCATAATATTCCTGGATTCCTTTGCCACCAGGACAATATCTCAGGTAATACACATACAGCACTGTTGTATTTTATCCAAATTTGAATTACCGTAAATTTGAAATAGTACAATATAAGATATTAATAAAGTCTATATAAGATTTAAAACAGAATGATTACCCCCAAATTCTCTTTAAAAATTCACCAAGAATCCCATAATTTCAAAGTCAACAAGCTGAGTAAATTTAATTTTTTTTTTTTTTCATTTGTGCCACATGGGTACTTCAGCTAGCAAACAGATATTCTTTCCTTTGTTAAGGTTACCTGAACCGTGGATTACAAGAGGTCCTCAGGAATTACCTTTATGTACACTACATATTCAAAAAGTTGTTGAATAAATGACTACATAGGCACAATATATCCACACACCTGACAAGGCAGGACCAATAGATACCACCATGTCTGATAGTCCCTTCCTTTTTCTAATTCTAGGAGTCCCTGAGAAGTACAAATGGTTAACACACTTGGCTGCTAACCGAAAGACTGGAGATTCAAGTCCACCCAGAGGTGCCTTGGAAACAAGGCAAGGTGATCTACTTCTAAAAAATCAGCCACTGAAAACCCTATGGAGCACACTTCTGCTCTGACACACATGGCATTACCATGAGTTGGAACTGACTTGACAGCTATTAGTTGTTTTTCCTAATTCTCCTGGAGCGAGACAGTGGTGAAAGAATTGGAGAGACTAGGAAAGAACAGTGAAAACAGTATGTCCGCCTATCCCCCTCACTTTCTCTTAGAATAGGGCAAGTTTCCCCCAGGGTGAGGCCTACATTAGGTGGGATTATAGGTCCTCTGGATCTAGTATTTGACAACCAGAACGCTATGTTTATCTAAAACAAAGATCTCAAATATCCTTTTAGGTACTACATAACGACCCAGACTGCCTTGGTGACCTGTGTGACCTTGGGTAAGTTACCTCTCTGGACCTCAGTTTTCTCATCTATAAAATTGTGTTATTGATATCTATCTCATACGGTTGTTATGAGGATTATATGAAATGATAAGTTAAGTACAGAGAATGGTGCCTGGCAAATAGAAAGCATTCAGTAAATGTCAGCCCATTACATTTGACTACTGATTTGGCATGTGCATGGGGATTTTACTTAATACCTATCATTGATAATATAAGGGGGTCACCAAATTTGTAATTGCTCCAAGTGTTTAGCAACTGTTTCCAGAAGTTTTTCATCTGGCACTGACCTCTACTACAGTCAGTCTAAATTTTTGTCTAAGACAAAAATTGTCCTAAACATTTTTGAAATTGGCAATCATTCTTCTAAGTCACTAGGGAGCTACTTATGCCCTTGGACAGTGACCTACAACATTATCTCTGAAGTAGTTAATGGAGCTTCCTAAGGTGCCAACCATAATTAACTCAGTCACTGGAAAAACCTGGCTCATTATCACACATAAATAACTCACAGCTCTGAAAGGTCATGCTGCCTATGATGGAGCATACAAATAGCCAACTGCTGACATCAGACCACGATATCTTTCTTTAGGCTTGAAATCTTGAATGATGAAGGAATATATTGGATACATGATCCACTGTCATTAGGTCAGGCAGGCTTAATTGATGCTGTAAGAAGTCAGTATCAAACACACTACTAAAGCATTTCAAGTAAAATATCACTGACAGCTAACCAATTCTTTTTCTAGACAAAATTTTTAATCTCAGAATTCTGAGAATTTTATTCTAGTAAATAATAGTGAAGCGTGCTGCATTTGACGGCTGGGTAAGTAGAGTACTGAAGGTAACTCGTGTTCTATGCTCACTTGAAAGGAAACATTAGTTCATGAAAGATATACTAAAATTGCTTTTCTGTAGGGAGATCTTTTGCCTCAGTTTTAATAAAGGTATTAAATTAGATTATCTTATTTTGTTTTTTAAATTAAATTTTATGTACTTATTTTTAATAAACTATCTCAGGACAAAGAGTAGGAAGTAAAAATCTCCCTTTCTATAATAAAGACAAAAATCAAAATTATTGTTACTTCTGAGAGGTAGCAGTAGATGAAACTGACGAGGGACACCCAGGGACATTAAAAATATTGGTAACATTCTGTGTCTTACACTGGTCATCGTAGAGTTATTCTCTTATCTGTATGAAATACTTCAAAATAAAAAGAAAAATATCCCTTTCAGCTCCCTCTCCTGGCATTCAAATGCCAGTCCCCTACCAACTGACCTTTAGATTGTCTCCTAAATTGTGCTTTTGAAAACATTGCCGCGTAAATAACTTTGTAGATACATCATTCCCTACATGTGCAAATATTAGATCATTGTTTTTTTTGTGACATGACAAACGGTATTTTATCAGTCTTATATTAAGTGGTAACTATTCTTCAATGTGACATTTATGATACTGACAGAAGTGTAAATAAAAGCTCTAAAGAAGTCTTACAAGGGGGTGGGATGTTGCCCTTGTTCTTAGATGCTGTCAAGTCGATTTTGACTCATAGTGACCCCACGTGACAGAGTAGACTTGTCCCACAGGGTTTTCTATACTGTAATCTTTACGTAAGCAGATCACCAGGTCTTCCTCCCGAGGAGGCACTGGGTGAGTCTGTACTGCCAACCTTTTGCTTAGCGGCTGCGTGCTTTAACCATTGTGCCACCAGGGTCCCTGGTGTTGCCCTGGGCCTAGTTTTTTGACCCCTGGCATCATGATGAATACACTGAGTTGGTCTTTTATGCTCTCACTTGCACTGTAGGAGCAGGACAGGGAGGTGTCTGCTACTGTAGGTTATTAGCGGGGAGAAGCGGAAACAGTTTTACTAAAGCCCCTGAGTTGATGTCCAGTCATTCTTTGCTTTTTTGTTCTAAGGTAGGCCCCACACTCCCTGAATTCAACCTTTAGGAACTATAGTCCGAGCTTTAGCTTCCTGTAATTTTCTTCACTCCTTAATGCTTCCTACCACCGAAGTCTCTCAGGTTTTCTTCCACATAGCTCAATGGTTAGAAAATTAAGGTCACTTCTTTCCCTTTTGCCCCTCCAACTAAAAGCAGAATTAGTCAAGGTCAAAAATCACAATGATTGTACAACATTGTGAATATAATTAATGACACTGTATTTTACACTTAAAAATAGTTAAAATGGTAAAGTTTATGTCATGTATGTTTAGCTATGATAGATATATAGAGCAGACAAGGGGAGATACTGGCAATGTGAGATACAAGAACAAATTAAAAAATACAGAAATGGAAATATTAGGTAATAAAAATATAATGCTATGGTTTTAAAAAACAAATCTTGGGAATGATGAGAAATATAAACCCCTTAGGAAAGAACACTGGTAGTGCTACAGAAGACTTTTGGACAGAGATGGATCATGTACTAGTCCATGTTTTTGTTATTAGGTGCTATAGAGTTGATTCTGACTCGTAGGGACCCCATGTGACAGAGAACTGCCCCATAGGGTTTCCTAGGCTGTAATCTTTATGGAAGCAGACCGTCACATCTTCCTCTTGCAGAGCGGCTGCTGAGTTTGAACCACCGACCTTTCTGTTGGCAGCTGAGCACTTTAACCAGTGCCACCAGGGTTCCTGCACTAGTCCATAGGGAGGGATTAAGTGTTAGTCAAACACACTCCTCGCAGACTCTCTTAGGTACTTCTAAACATTTATTAACCAATTGGATTTGCTGAAAACAGCAGGCAAAATGTGGGCTTCTTTAAATAGCTACACAAATGAACCTACAAGAAATACATAGTTATATACTAGTGATTTCTTGATTTTAAGGGCAGATTGCTTTTAAAAAACATGGAAATAACGTTCTTGTTAAAAACCACTGCTTAAGTGGCTCTGCAGGAGAAAGGCTAGGCGATCTGCTTCCATAAAGATTAAAGCCAAGAAAACCCATGGGGAAGTTCTACTTTGTCACATGGGGTTGCTATGAGTGGAAATTGACTTGATAGCACCCAACACCACCACCACAAGCGAGTTTATATGAGTTTATGTTAATGGTGGTGGAATCCTTGGAAAGGCATGGAGAGAATGGTTGCACAACTTGAAGAATGTAATCAATGTTACTGAATTGTGTGGAAGTTGTTGAACTGGTGTGTGTTTTGTTAAGCGTATTTTCATCTCACACACGCACACAAAACCTGCTGTAAAAAATGGCTTCAAGGGTTTCATTTTTCATTGCATTACACATTGTGACAGTAGATGGCGCTAAAACACAGACCATGAGCTGCCAATGTTCTTAAAAAAAAAAAATCCTTTCCTAGGTTTTATTCCTGAAAAAAAATTAAAGTAAAATTGTAACTGTTTACAAGATAGAAAGATTATTTTGATAGCAAGAAAAGCTCTTTCCAAGTTATATTTTGGTTAAACCAGATGAAATTGCTGGTTTTGTAGGTCAAGAAAGGTTGAATATAGACAATTCCATATGGTTTGACCTAAAAAGTACTTAGATACCTAAAAGATGCTAGCTTATAATTTATTTTAGTAAAGGCTAAAGAAAAGCTAAAAAAATTGAAGGAACTAAAATGTGATGACTATGTTTTTCATAACCCGGAAGGGAGGGCCTGAGGAATTCAACTAACACTAGAATAGCAACGCAGGCCAGAGACTGCTAGAGCCGGCTGAAATTGTGGAGAGATCCATGGAAGCATTAGAAATATTGATAATGTTCTACCACCAACAGAATGGTCATGTTATATCAGTGTTAATAACCACTGATTTTTTTCTAAAATTAAATTTGGTAAGAATAAAGGTAAAATGACTCTATTTTCAAATCAGGCATATCTCCCTGGCTTGAATGACGTGCAGGTGTCTCCAGAAATCCAGGGTACTGTCTGTGTGTCTCCTGTCTTTTCCTTAATCAAGGATTCCACTTCTTTTAATATTACATGTTTCCAGATGAGAATTCTGGTTTATTTCAAGTTTTACCAGGTGTTTACAAGGTGTTTCCAGATGAGAATTCTAGTTTACATAGAGTTTTACAAGGTGACTGCAAAAAAGGGTTCCTATATTTCATCAGTGCTGAACAGCTCGGATGCTAACCAAAAGGTTGGCAGTTTCAAATCTGAATCCACCAGCAGCTCCTTGGTAACTGTCTGAGTTATCTAGTGCTGCCATAACAGAAATACCACAAGTGGATGGTTTTAACGAAGAGAAGTTTATTTCCTCACAGTCAAAGTAGGCTAAAAGTCCAAATTCAGGGCGTCAGCTCCAGGAGAAGTCTTTCTCTCTCTGTCGGCCTTCTCATCCGTGTTCCCCTGGACTAGGAGCTTCTCGGCGCAGGGACCCCGGTCCAAAGGACACACTCTGCTCCTGGCACTGCTTTCTTGATGGTATGAGGTCTCCCTGTCTCACTGCTCACTTCTGTCTTTTATATCTCAAGAGATGGCCTCAGGACACAATCCAGTCTTGTAGATCAGGTCCTGCGTTACTAACACAACTGCCACCCACCCTCCCTCATTA